CCGCATATTACTCGCGTCGCTCAGAGAAAAAATAACGCCGACGCCCAACACGGCTGCGAAGGAGGCTACGTTTTTATCCCCCATCAGAAAATGGAAGATGAGATTTTCTAAAAGCCAAGGCGTTTTTCTTGCAGCGAATTGCCAAGTCAATTGTGTAAATGTGCAGTAGAACAACAATGTCATTAAGGCGGTTAAGTCGCGTTTGGTTCACTTCGAAAGCCAATTTTTCATGTTGGCTAAAAGCGTGGAAAAGCTGTCAGCTAGTTACTTAATACTGCGGTTTAGTGTCCTTTGTTCTCATCGACAAGAATTAGATGATCAGTTCCTTTATGAACTTCAATATGCGGGTACAAAGCTGGTGCCTTACGCCTAAGGGCTACCGGGTGGCCGATTCAGATATGCCTGTCTTTTTTGTCAGTAACATTGGAGCGAATTGCGAGTAAGCTGATCGGATTTTTTCCGATTTCTGACGTGAAGTTTTATTAGACATTATATTATAGATATTCATATTTATTAGATTTCTGACGTGAAGTTTTATTAGATAATTTTTATTAGATAGTTTTATTATATATATATATGTGTGTGTGTGTGTGTGTGTGTGTGTGTGTGTGTGTGTGTGTGTATGTGTGTGTGTGTCACTGTGTATATATACAAAACGTGCGTTGACTACAATGTTGTGTAATCATGTAATATCTTGAGCCGTGTATCCTGTCCACTGAGTACCGTCACTAGGCAAGCAAAGGAGAGGTGAAAGCATCCATAAGTGTTAAACGCCTTGAAATAACCTTCAAAGTATAGAACCACTTTACGTTAAGCCACGTGGCAAATGATGATCTTAGTGTGGGAGTTCTGAAGCAAGGAGCTTTATACTAGTAATGTAAGGTATACATGACCTTCGCCTTCAAAAACAACCTTCACCTACGATGCCATGACGAAAGGTCTTGTATTTATCCAAGGTACGTCGGTGAAGGTTAGACATCCAAGTAATAAGATACGCCAAAAAGCAGTTACTCAAGCAACTGGATATGATTTGGGAAACGGTCAGACGTTTCAGCTAGTATCCACTACCTTTCGTCAGTGACTGAGAGACCAGAGGGGAAAACAGGTTCATAAGCACACACAATTGATTGATACGCAAATTTTGGGGAGGTCCAAAAAGAAAGAAAAGCTAGTCAAGACAAGATGATGCAAATTAGTAAAAAGCTTCTATTGTGCAGAACAGGAGCTTAAGTGTTGTATGTCCTTTGGCCTTGGATCAATAGTTTGTGCTTATAAATCTGCATTTCTCCTCTGGTCTCTCAGTCACTGACGAAAGCTAGTAGATACTAGCTGAAACGTCTGACCATTTCCAAAATCATATCCAGTTGCTTAGTAGTAACTGCTTTTTGGCGTGTCTTGTATTTGTACTTTATCTTTGGTTTGGTTTGGTTTATTTCGATCTCCATTAGTGAATGCATCCACTAGTCTTCCTGGGGTCCATTTAAAACAGTGTAATACAAAATATTACAACGGAATATGATAAAGTAGTACAGATATTAGAATTGACAGAAAACTAACATAAACTGAACTGAAAAACACATTAATAATTAAAACAATATAAGTCAATTATACAACAGGTTATACAACCAAATATCTATCTGATTAACAAAAATTTGTAACGCAAATAAAAAAGCGGGGTGAAAGAGGTCAGAAAAAATAATATATAATAGAAATCAAAAACAATTTATACTGTAGATAAAGAAGATGGAATTTGATGAGATATGAACCAAAATATCAGATAATAAATGATAATTTCCACGATTATTAAATGATTGTGGAAATCATAAAATTAACGTAGTGAGTAATCATCTTAGCAGAAGGAAAGTAATCAATCTCTCGGTAATATGTCATTACTTTGGTCATCACAGATAGACTTAGCTGCTTATGGCTGACCAAAAAAAGCACAGACCTAATACTAAACGAAAAGGTCAACTAGAATGTAAGATAATATTGTAAGATATGTTCTTCCGCCAATGAGATATAGGAGGTTACCATGTAATCTTATCTTTCAAATAGCTCTGTTAGCATTTAATTTAACATGTTAATGTCTTGGGGTGGTGGGACTACGGCGCACAGATATGTCAACTTTGTATATTTAAATGTTAATTGTACCTTTTTTGTTGTGTGGCGCTGTTAATATAAGTTGTTAACTTGAGTGCAGCGTCACACTGCCCTTGTCATGTCTTTATGTTTTGATGAATAGAAAAATGTAAGATAATATAGACATCCTGTAATAAACGGAATAAATTATACAGTACAATATACACTACAAGGCAATACATGACAAGATGCAGTGTAAGAAAATTAAACCTTGCAGCAATGTAGCTTGACATAATAAGTCTCTACAATGTATGGAGCATAACAAGTTGGAGTAGATCAATCAATCAATCAATCGTCCGCGGGCTTCAAGGTAGAAGCATGGCGGCCGTAGACAGCTGTCTCCATAGGCTTTACGAATTTTTAGCTATGTATGTATGATTAACTAAAAATCTGTATCTGTATCAATATAGCCGGTATAACCGCCCTTCGGCTTAACACACCAGCTTCGCATGCACGCGGCGCGGCGGCAGCTCGCTATATCACACCGGACGACTTGTTACACTCAATCTTTGCACATTTAATTGCAGGTGATGTTTAAAGCTTTCCGGTGATGATGCTCCAACTGTGCTTGGTGGCAACGAGTTCCAGTCTACGATAGTTCTGGGGAAATACGAGTTTTTGAATACCTTAATTCTTGGTTGATAACTGTGATATTAAACTAAAATCAGGACTGAAGGCGAGTTTTTTTGTGAGTCTTGGGTTCACATAAGTGTAGAAGAGTCAGTGACTTTTCCTAGAAGGCTATTAAAGGCGCGAAGCTTTTCTTAAGCAATAATCGTCACTGAACGTTGCTAAGAGACCTTAAAAAACATAATCAGCGGGCGACTAACGTCGTTTTATCGCATCAACTGCCTGGAAGCAAATTCTATCAGCACCATCAGTGCCCGAACTCAATCAGACGGAAACCGCAGGCGACTTTCTATAGGCGGAGTGGGCGTCACGTTTGGCGGTCTGGGAGGGGGAGTGGAGGTGGTAGCGGGCATACATTTTATGACGTAGTCATCACCGCACGTCGGTCTCCTTATTCTTTCTTCTCCTGACGGCGCGACGTGAGCAGGTTGTTCTGGTCGCTTCGGTTCGCCGCGTAGCATTTGTTACTAAACAGCAGCAATAGCAGCAGCGGCAGTTTTCCACTGTTCATTGTGCTTATCGACAAGAGCTAGGGGATTCTCTCATTGTACATAGCGTCTGCCTTCTTCGTTACCACCAGTGGGAGATTAGCTCTTCTGTGAGCTGAAACTGGGCCGAGATCACTTTTTCCTGTCTTAGCAGCGATGGCTGAGTTCGACGTTGCAGAGAACCGTTCTCTAGACGCGTTGAACGCGTCGGAAGGTTTGCTGAATTTCAACCACACGTTTTGGATGGGCGACATGGGAGAGATGGAGCCCCTTTCCCCGGTCACCCTGGTCCTCGTCAGCGTCTGGTCTGGCGTGATCTTCCTGGTGGGGATCCTGGGGAACCTGTCGGTGGGACTGGCGGTGTGGGGGAACAGGGAGCTCCGCACGCCAACCAACTTCTTCCTGCTGAACCTGAGCGTGGCCGACCTGCTCCTTCTGCTCTTCTGCCTGCCGGTGTACGTGGTGGAGCTGTGGGTCCACTTCCCCTGGCTGCTGGGGGAAACCATGTGTGAGTAGTGTTTCCTATATTTGCGTGCCTTTTTTTTAATCTACATAAAGATCCTACGATGATGAATCACAGATGCTAGGGTGGCAAGACATTATTCGTTGTCCAGAGGAGAGACCACTAGCTCTGGGCCCACTTCCCCTGACTCCTGGGGGAAACGATGTGTGAGTAGGCTTTCCTATGTTTGCGTGCTGTTTTTGTTTAATCTACATAAAGATCCTACGATAGTGAATCACAGATGCTAGGGTGGCAAGACATTATTCGTTGTCCAGAGGAGAGACCACTAGCTCTGGGCCCACTTCCCCTGACTCCTGGGGGAAACGATGTGTGAGTAGGCTTTCCTATGTTTGCGTGCTGTTTTTGTTTAATCTACATAAAGATCCTACGATAGTGAATCACAGATGCTAGGGTGGCAAGACATTATTCGTTGTCCAGAGGAGAGACCACTAGCTCTGGGCCCACTTCCCCTGACTGCTGGGGGGAAAATGTGTGAGTTGCCTTTTTTTCTACCATGTGCGATGGTCACTCCTATGGGTCCACTTCCCCTGGCTGCTGGGGGAAACCATGTGTGAGTTGTCTTTTCTTTTTTTTCTTAATTTATATTCCAACATGTAATCACACAGGGGACAATACTTATTTTCACCTGAGCGAAGTGAGGAAAGTCGTGTAAAATGCAGCTTTAAATTGAGATTTACCATATTTGTGGAAGGATTAACATAACAGGGGACTATCACATTTTCAATATGTCAACCCGAAGACAAGATTGAAAGGTTTGAATCACGCACACCTTGCTGAACCCCTGCTCTTTCCGATAAATGTTATGCTCGACGTGTGACTCTCATAAAAAAAACGGGACCTCCGGCTTTACGATCAACCTAAGAGGACGCCCCCAAGCTAGATACTCATTTTCACCCGAGTCGAGTGAGGAAATAGGTGTAAAGTGCCATGCAGGGCACGACACAAACCTTCATGTTATGACGGATAGTTTTTGCGTTTAGCACACATGGGTATATCTACAAGTATCATGTGCTTCAGCTGCCACCCTCCTCAAATGTAAACACGAGCCCAGGGCGTAACGGGCCCATGTGTTAGTAGACTGTGCTGGTTCAATTCTTGCTTGGGTTCACCTTGGAGTAACATATGACCATGGTTATACATCTAAGAACGCTATGAAAAAAAGAGGTAGCCATTGTCACAGAATCAGAAGTAAAATGTTAAGATAGTCCCATAGTCTTCTTCAGGTCACGTTGGGGCAGTGGGTTGTTATCCACTGTGTCAAGGGCACGTTATTGGATGTCACAGCCCATCCCTCTCCTTCCACCCTCTTTTACCTCACCAACCGAAGTAAAGTACAGATTTTACACCTGGGTGAGTGATAAAATCGTAGCAAGTGCCTTTACCTAAGGACACAAAGACGTCTTACTAAGAATGCCAGGAATAGAACACGAAACCACTCGGTTCGCTAACCCAACCACTCGACCATTCGAAGCTACGCCAGAAGACTGCGTTAGTAGATGTGATTAGAGTCTTGCCCATCGTCTGCGATACTCAATTAACGAAGCTAATTGCTCTGTAGATGAGATTTGGATACTGCGTGCCTTTTAATCATGTAACCACGTAATCATGTAAGCACAAACATCGACAATTTCACTCCCTGAGATTATGTCTGTGTACACGTAGTTTCTCGTCAGAGCAAAATTACATACTGTGTGTGGGTGCGCGCGGTTTATACATTGTCATATCCTTATGTCAACCTACATAAGGAGCAAACTCACGTTTCTCTCAACGCGACACGCACCACGAAATCCTATTGGCATATTGAATCAAAGCGTGCATTTAATAGACACTGATGTATTCTTGTATCCAGACAGTAAACATGTCAGTTCAGAGTAAAACGACACAGAGGATACAGTGTCTCCTTGCATCCTCATAGGAACAATGGCTATTCCATGAGGAATTGTTTTTGTGCATCCTTGTTATATTAAACCACGTCTTTTCTCGTGCACATGTTTTTCTCCAAGAGGCTTACCGAGAAATGTGTCGGTATAACGTCTGCAAAGAAACACTTATATATTGTTATAGCTTGACAGTGCGTACATGACTTCAAGAAAAGGGTAAACAACATTATTCTTTGACAGTTCTTTGTGTTTACGGATCCTAGCGGGAGCCATTGCTATCAAGCTATGTTCTCTACCAAGCAACACTGGCGCGGTGCGCCATTTGGCGTAGTACACTTGTTTCTGTAACCTGTATCTGTGCTGCTGGTATATACACTAGTCTTTGGCGTAACACACCAGCTTCTGTACCTGCATATCCGATATAGCAGCCTTTCGCCGAACTTAGCAGCTTCCGCATCTGTATATCTGGTATAAACGCCTTTCGGCGTAACAAGCTATCTAGTGATAATGCCGCTGCTGCGCTTGGTTCCACTCTGCGATGGTTCAATGGCCAAATATAGATCTTGTAGCTGACAGGATGTTGATTCCATTCCAGTTAAAAGGTTCTCTCAATTGACACATCCGTGTGTTCACACGTACACGTACTCCAAGGACCAGTGTGACATTTTGCACGGCGAGGCGCGCTCGCTCCCCAGACGCTCGTTAGTTGTAATCACAGCTCGTTATTCAGCACCAAGGACAGGTCCGCACACTAATGAGCGCCGGCGTGGCCGAACTGCGGAAGCACCGCGGAGTCAGTCCCGCGCCGGAGGAACGGAAAGGCTGACAGGAAGTCCCTCGAGGGAAAAACAAGTACTAGTAACCGGAAAGCAAGCAAATTCAGGTTATACACGGTGGAAAAAAGGGATCGAAACGCTGGCAGGAACTCCCTCTAGGGGAACAAGTTACCAGAAAACAAGCCTTTGCTGGCAAATTCAGGTTTACGGCAAATGTGCTGATGTTAACACATTGGTGCACCAAATCCCGCAGGGGTGGGGAAGTCGTGTAAAGTGCCTTTTCCAAGGGCAGAACGTCGGGCAAGTTACCAGTAAACACGCCTTTTCTGGCAAATTCAGATTTTAATAAAAAAATAACGGCAAATGTGCTGATGTTAACACATTGGCGCACCAAATCCGTAGTTTGTTTTTGTCACACAGTTAGACAGATTAGCCTAAGAGGCTCGGTGAGCGTCACTCCATCGCACTGGTGGGAAAGTCGTGTAAAGTGCCTTTCCCAAGGGCACAACTGCGGGCCACGGTGAGTATCGAACCCGGGACCTATTGGTTTCGAGTCCAACGCTCTAACATGGATATTATACTTCCTTCGGTTACATGCAAAATTGCATGTTAACGTTGGCAAAACATTTTAAATGCAATTTGGAAAATCTACATCCAGAATTCAGTATTAAACACAAGAACTCTCAAACCGTATGTACCACAGGGAGGCACCAGCCCTGCTAAATGCCCTTGTCCCTAAACATATAGAGGTTCGGCGGGTGACACGCCAGTCAAAATCCCAGCACAAAAACACTCTGGTTATCCCGGTCTCCCACACCGTCAATCATAATAGAACTCTACCAATAACGGTTGAACTTTGGAACAGTCTTCCGAGGGAGATTGCTATGATCAGGGAGAAAGATTTAAATGTGAAGTTATTTCTTTCCTCAGCGCAAAACTCTGACAGCGTTCTCTCTAGGTAGTCCGGATACTAATGCTGTGCGAGAGCTGACATAGATTTAAAAACAGTATAGCATTACAACCTGTACTAATTTTTCACACGAAAATAGGTTTACAAAATTAAGAATTAATCAGCTTGATAGGAAAGAAGGAATTATACACATCAGTAGCATCCGTTTTAGTATACAGTGCTCACTTCCGGCTGGGTGTACTCATTTCCAAGTACGCGGAATGCATCGATATCGCATTTAACGATGCATTCATCATCTATTCATACGGCCCCAACAATCATTCTTCAGGGCATTTACGCAGCATGATTGCATGATGCATGGTACAAGTAACACATTCTAGTTCAAATGTATAACACTATATCAACCACGGAGGAGAGGAAATAGTTTCAACTAGGAAAGAGATTTTGACAGCCTAGCAAGCAGAATGTCTTTCAACGTTGAGTTCTCGCTCTGGGAGGCTGATTTCCTTGTTGTTGTTCTCAAGTTCAAGTTCAAGTTTATTTAAATCAACTGGCATGTACACAGATTCACAGAAAATGTGACATGAAATTCGTTGACAATTACAGTAAATTGTGTAGTCATTGGTTGCCGCTATTAGTTATCACCTTGGCTCTCTCACAGCTGATGTGTTACGCCGAAAGGCGGTTATACCGGCAATACAGATACAGAAGCTGGTGTGTTTCGCCGAAGGGCGGTTATACCCGCTATACAGATACAGAAGCTGGTGTGTTACGTCGAAGGGCGGTTATACCGGCTATATATACAGATACAGAAGCTGGTGTGTTACGCCGAAGGGCGGTTATACCGGCTATACAGATACAAAAGCTGGTGTGTTACGCCGAAGGGCGGTTATACCGGCTATACCGATACAGATACAGACGAAACTTTGCCCTCTATCTAAAGCAATATCTTCTTTTCACAGACTGTAAAATTATGACTCGTCAACTGTATCCCCCCGTATGCAATCCAGAACCAGCGTTTACCGCCATCTCCTAGCATATTCTCCTGTATGTAATCCCCTCTTAGCTCAGCGCATAGAAGTACCCGTTTACCCTTAAACAGATCAAACCCGTTGAAACAAATTCGCCTGCTTGTGTCTGCAGCCCTCTGGGAAGTTGTCTAGTCACATAATACTATGTTTTAGCGCCATACGTGAGTGTGTTTGACTTTATGTCCTCACATGTACATTTAGCAAAGGTTGCACACATACGTGACAACTCGTGTTTGACTTTGTATCCTCACGTGTACATTTAGCAAAGGTTGAATCGAATCATAGGTTGAATCGGAGATTTGTTATGGAGAAGTATATTGCTTGGTACAAGAAAGATCATTTCCGTCTCCATCTAGCAAAGGTTGCATACATACGTGAGAAGTTGTGT